TTCCCCAAACGGCCCCGCTGCTTCCCCGGGGGATTTTTCTGGGCCAAAAAAAGGAGCAGATTTCAGTGGGATTCACCTCTCCCAGTTTTTTGGACAGAGCTTAAAGCTCTTGGGCAGGGCTCGTTCTTGAGATCGCAGGCGATGGGGGGATTTTCGGCTTGCTCCCTCGGCGGGGAGGCAGATCTCTAAATATTACTGTATTTTTGTCTAAATATTTAATGTGATGCTTTTCAGGGCTAATGTAATCCCTGGCTACAGTCCCCTTTCAGATACCACAGAAATCATAAAAATCCCTTCATAAATTTTCCTTCTCTCTGAAACTTGCTTAGTAATCAAAACTATTTTCTCTCCCATATTAGTAGGAAACCCACTTGGCTGGGGGAAATCACCCTTTTCTCTCTAGGGAGCTGCTCTTTACCCCATTTCCCCCAGACTGACATTATTCTGCAGCTATTCCCTGCTGCAGCAATTTGTCCTGTCTCTGTTTTGTTTTCTGTCAAACTGAAGGAATTCGCTGTCAGATCCCTGCCCTTAGCAGCTGCTGAACACAAAAAACCTCCCTGCGATCTTCCTGACTGCTGCTGGATTTGCAAACGCTGCTACAGAACCCGGGCAGATGCGGGTTCGCCTTTCCCTCGCCCCGTTTTTCGATCTGAGAAGACGCTGCCCGGCGGCGGTCCCCGAGGCAGCACCGAGCCCCTCGGTGACACCTTTCCTGCTTGTCTCTCCCTTTGCAGCCGCTGCACGCGTTAATGCATGGGGGAAAAGCGAAGGGAGGGAGGAAGCAACGGTCTCGGTCCCCCCTTGCATCCCTCCGCTGGGTGCATTGGTGCATCCCTGCGATGCTGCGTGCCCCAGGCCGCCAGCACCCAAGGGAGCCAGCCCGGCTCCCAGCCTGGAGCCACCCTCGGAGGCCAGGCAGGCCTGGCCTGTGCGGCTGGGCTCGGGGACTGTTGCAGCCCGGCTGGGTGTGCAGAGACACAGGAAGGGGCTGGGACAACGCCGAG